CATCAGCTTTGCTGGAGTGTATCCAGTGGCTTCATGCTCTGCTGTTCTATAGGCCATCAACATTGAAGTGAGTAAGACATCTTGGCGACTATTACAAAACGTTGCCAATTCCTGTCCCAGTGTCCAATTGTACATTTCTACCATCCCATCAGACTGTGAGTGAAGTGGCATTGTCCTGGTCTTTCGTATGCCAAACAACTTGCAGCATTCATGAAACACAGCTGATTCAAAGTTACGGCCTTGATCTAAATACAGTTCGTATGGCATACCAAAGCTGAAGAAGAAATCACTAATAGCCGAAGCTACAGTTGTAGCTTCCTGATTTGGTATTGCATATGCCTCAGATCACTTGGTGAAATAATCCATCACCACACAAATGTACCTGTTTCCAGCATGAGTTTGGGGCAATGGATCAGCAATGTGAATGGCTACTCTTTCCATTGGTGCAACAACTTGATATGACTTCATTCGAGCACGTCCCTTATGCTTGGGTCCCCTTTTAGCACAACATGTACTGCACGTCCTGCACCATTCTTCCACATTTTGCATCATATCTATCCAGTAAAATCTCTGTCGTAGGTGACTCAATGTTTTCTTAACTCCGAGATGTCCTCTTGTTAAACTATCATAGGATTGACGCAGCACAACTTCCCGTAACTTTCTCGATATAACCGTTTGCCAGGTTGTCACTTTCCAATTTGCAGTTTCCCATCTCTGGACAAGAATACCATCTTCAAGCTTCAACTGATCCCACTGTGCCCAATAATCTTTGTCACAAGGCTTAGACTAGACACCTTATTTCAAGCAGGGCACAAAACATTTGCTTGTAGAAAATCAATTTTTGGCTTCAAATCATGGTCTTTCTCCTGTTCTGCTTTAATATCTATACCTGGTTCCATTTCATCATCATCAACTCCTTCAGTCACTTTGACTTCAGCTTGATGGCACCTGGTTTGTTCAACCTCTCTTTTAACATTTACCAGAATTTGGCCTTTGTTTTTCCCAAACGTCATTTTATCAAAATTACCTACACACTTCCTCGGTAGTAAGTAGTCCAACCCAAGTATGCATGTGTCTTCAATGTCAGCCAAGTATACTTCGTGATGGGGGTTGGTGGGCGTCCTTCAACACCAACCACTATTGGTTTCCCGAAGCTGACTTATTGGTAGTATTCTTCTTACACTGGCTCCTCATATGTCCTTGTTCTCCACAGTTCCAACAACCTTTCTGGGTAGCAGCCTTTCCTGCCATGGCATCTTTCCTGTGTTGAAGTTGCCGGCATTGAGTTCTCTTGTGCCCTGATTTGTTACAGTACCAGCAAAGTTCCTCAAACTTCTCTGAAAGCTTCAAATTCGCTCTGAGAGCTGCCCTTTTCTGGCCTTGAATCTTGATGACTGTACCAACCTTGGTACTTCTGTACTGTACTTAATGTAGGATTCGAATTCAAAAGCTCTGGCCATTGCATCCTGCATAGTAGAAGGGTGTGCTTGCTTTACTTGTATCTTCAGTTGTGGACTGTCCAAGGCATCTACAAGCTGATCCCTCAGCAACAGCTTGAATACATAGGGTGGTGCAGTTGGGTAGGCCTTGTGTGCCATAATTTTCAAGTCCTGTGCCAGATCTTGCAGGCTCTCCCCTTTAGCACGGACTCTAATCCTAAACCTAGCCCTGTAGACTTTGGACTGACTTTGAGTTCTATACCTGAGTTCTAGAGCAGCTACCAGTGCTCTATAATTGTGCCTGTCATCTGCTGACAACTGTCCAAGTATTTCCAGTGGTTGTCCCTTCAAGCTCATTGCCAGGTACACTGCTTTCTGCTCCTCTGTCCATCCATTCATTTCTGCCAGGAACTCAAATTGTGCTCTATATGCTTCCCACGGTGCCTTCTAATCGAATTCCTGTGGCTTCCTTCGTACTAGATCACCCCTATTGCTGACACTCATGTCTGGAATGTGACTTCTTGCAGGACTGAAGATGTCTGCATAAGGGTTTAGCTGCGGGGGACTGGAAGAGGGTTCCTGTTGCCTGGGGCTGATTATGTCTATGGCTAATATATCCTCCTCGTGGAAAAGACGGTAAATCATCCTTTAATATATTTAATTCACTTTGAAATTTACTAATCTTTTCAATTTGTGTGTGCTGGCTTTCTTTCAACTGTTGGAGACTTTCTTCCTGTTTCTTTTCTCGTTCTTCTTATTTTATTTCTTGTTCCAGTTGCCACTGGTGCTAGTTTTCTTGCCACTGCTGTAGTCTCTCTTCTTGTTTATTTTCTCTCTCCTCCAACCACTGCTGTAGTCTCTCTTTT